CTGCCCTGTTCGATTCCCTCTTTGGCTGCCCTTTCTGATCGGCTTCGCGTGTCGGGGTGATTATCATGAGGGCGGATTTTCTGCTCTCTAATCCTCCCTCACCGCTTCGTCCTCCGCGAACCTTCAGGGAGAGCAGAAGACATGGCGCTGGCGATGTGTGGCGCGGCGCCCGCACCGCTGGGGTGGCTGAGGCATGCAGCTGGCCTTGCCCCGCCCCTCCCATTAGAGGCGAAGGAGGAGGCAGGAGGAGGATGAGGATGAGGATGAGGATGATGCTGATGCTGATGATGACGATGATGATGATGCTGATGATGCTGATGCGGATGGTGATGGTGATGGTGATGGTGGTGGTGATGATGATGATGACGATGGTGGTGGTGGTGATGATGATGATGATGGTGATGATGATGCTGATGCTGATGATGCTGATGCTGATGATGATGATGCTGATGGTGATGATGATGCTGATGATGATGATGATGGTGGTGGTGGTGATGATGATAATGCTGATGCTGATGCTGATGCTGATGCTGATGCTGATGCTGATGATGGTGATGATGATGATGATGATGATGATGGTGGTGGTGGTTGTGGTGGTGGTGGTGATGGTGGTGGTGGTGGTGATGATGATGATGATGATGATGATGAGAAGGAGGAGGAGGAGGAGTAGGAGGAGGAGGAGGAGGAGGAGGGGGAGGAGGACGGGGAGGAGGAGGGGTGGTAGGGGGAGGGGGAGGAGTGGAGGAGGAGAATCCCGACCCTCCGTCCTCCCCCTCCTGCTGCTTCTTCTCGGACAGCAGGTCTGCAGGCGCTCCTGGCACGGCTCCAGGCGCGAGAGGCCGCTGCTAGGGCTGCAGCTTCTCCTTGCCGTCGCTGGACAGTTCGCGTTGGCTTCGCCCTCGTGGGATCGCTGATGAAGCACTGTGCAGATCTTCCACATTCCTTCGGTGGCAAATCATGGGAGCCTGGTATGCCCTCTGAATTCCGTCGTTAGCGTCGATTAGCGTCTGGGAGTCGATGAGATAGCGTCGATTTAGCGTCGATTGGCGTCGAACTAGCGTCGAATTAGCGCCGATGAGGGTCGTTTTAGCGTCGACTAGCGCCGATTTGCAAGAGCCGACAAGATGGTATGGAAGGCTCCCATGAATTGCCACCGAACATTCTTCCCTGCTCCTTGCCCCTGCGGTTTCGGTTGCTCTGACTGCTCCTCACCGAGAGGCGCCATTGCCAAGTGTATTGCTCTCTTGGTCCTCCCGGGCAGTGAAAGCTGGCTCGCTGGCTGGGAGCGGCAAGCGTGTCGACGCCTTGTCCGCCCAGCTCCCCCAGGAGGAGGAGGAGGAGGAGAGGGAGAAGAGGGAGGGAGGAGGAGGAGGAGGGATGACAACGAGCATGGGGTAGGAAGGGGGAATCCTCCGTCCTCCTCCTCCTCCTCCTCCTCCTCCTCCTCCTCCTCCTCCTCCTCCCCCTCCCCCTCCTCCTCCTCCTCTTCCTCCTCCTCCTCCTCCTCCTCCTCCTCTTCCTCCCTGCCCTCCCTCCTCCCCTCGTCCTCGCCTTTGTCATCCTCGTTGTTGTGCTTCCTCGTTTCATTTCCCAATTCTTGCTCTTTCTCGTCATCGGCGCTCTTCTTCGTCCCCCCGCCTGGCTCCTCTTACTCATCGTTCCCCCTCCTTTTCCGCTTCCTTTCTGCCTCCTGCTTTTCTTCTTTTCTCCTGCCTCATCCTCCTCTTTCTCCTCCCCTTTCTCCATATCATCTCCCGCCCTCCTTCTCCCCTCTTTCCCCTTTCATTCTTCCTCATGCTCTATTTCCACCTCTTCCTGGGGGGTGCAGAACTGGCTTTCTCCGCCCACAACGGGCAGACCCGGACGTACCCAGCAGTCCGCTTCCATAGGCCATTTCGTCGTCGGAGTGCGCAGGGCTTCTTCGCAAGACGAGGAGGCATAACGCATGAGTGTCACTGGTGCGTTCATCGGGGCGTTGGTCTGAGGTGGAGTGATGCTGATGTTGACGATGGCACTGTCATTCATGGTCGGCAATGATGATGCTGATGATGATGATGATGATGGTGGTGGTGGTGATGATGATGATGATGATGATGATGGCAATGATGATGCTGATGATGATGCTGATGAGGATGATGTTGCTGATGATGATGATGCTAATGCTGATGACGACGATGATGGTGTTGGTGGTGATGACAATGACAATGACGATGGCTATGGTAACGATGACGATGCTGATGATGCTGATGCTGATGCTGGCGTTGATGCTGATGCTGATGATTCTGCTGGTGATGAGAATGATGTTGATGCTGGTGCTGATGCTGACACGGATTCTGATGATGGTACTGAGGATGGATGATGTTCATGGTGCTTATGATGATGATGATGATGATGATGATGATGATGATGATACTGATGATGCTGATGCTGATGATGATGATACTGATGCTGATGCTGATGCTGATGATACTGATGATGATACTGATGATGATGCTGATGGTGATGATGATGCTGATGATGATGAGAAGGAGAAGGATGATGATGCTGATGATGCTGATAACGATTATGCTGATGTTGATGCTGCTGATGATGAGGCTGAGGATGCTGACGACGATCATGACGATTCGGATGATGCTGCTGCTGATGATGATGATGCTGATGAAGACGATGACGATGGTTAAAATGATGATGCTGGTGATGATGTTGAGGATGTTCATGCTGATACTGCAGCTGATGATGACGGCGACCTTGCCGATGATGACGGTTGATTGTCACCATCATAGTGGTATAGATGATGATTTTCGTGACGATGATGACAGTGACGGAAATGAAGATGACGGTGACGATGACGGCGGCGGCGGTGACGACGACGATGGTGATAGCGATGGCGGTGGCGTTGATGGCGACGACGACGACGGTGGCGATGGCGGCGGCGTTGATGGCGTTGGCGGCGGCGGCAACGGCGATGATGGTGATGATCATGCTGCTGGTGATGATAATGATGATGATGATGATGATGATGATGACGATGATGATGATGATGCTGCTGATGATGTCGATGATAATGACCATACTGCAGATGTTACTGTCGATGATGACGAGGCTGATGCTGATGTTGATGATGATGATGTTGTTGTTGTTGTTGTTGTTGTGGGTGTTGTTGTTTTCCTTGTTGTTAATGATGATGATGATGATGATGATGATGATGATGATGATGATGATGATGATGATGATGATGATGATGATGATGATGATGATGATGAGGATGCTGGTGATGATGATGATGATGATGATGATGATGATGATGATGATGATGATGATGATGATGACGCTGATGATGATGATGATGATGATGATGATGATGATGATGATGAATGATGATGCTGATGGTGCTGATGATGATGCTGCTGATGCTGATGCTGATACTCATGATGCTTATGCTGCTGATGATGATGAGGCTTATGATGATGGTGATGAGGCTAATGATAATGACGATGAGTATGACGATTCTGATGATGCTGCTGATAATGATTATGATGATCCTGATGATGATGGTTGTGACGACGATGATGGAAAGGACGATGATGCTGGTGATGATGTCGAGAGTGTTCATGCTAGTGCTGCAGCTGATGATGACTGTGACCTCGCCGATGATGACGATGACTATCATCATGATGGTGGTGTAGATGATGACCTTCATGACGACGACGACGACAGTGACGAAAATGAAGACGATGCTGACGACGGCGGCGGCGACGACTACGACGATGATGGTGATGGCGATGGCAGTGGCAGTGATGGCGATGACGGCGAAGGTGGCGATGGCGGCGGCGATGGCGGTGGCGGCGGCGGCAACGGAGATGATGGTGATGATGATGCCGATCGTGATGATATTTTTGATAACGATCTTGTTGTCGATGGTGATGGTGACGATGATGCTGATGCTGATGCTGCTGCTGATGATGAAGATGATGATGCTGATGATGATGCTAACGATGATGATGACGAGGCTGATGCTGATGCGGATGATGATGATGATGCTGATGATGATGATGATGATGATGGTAATGACGATGATGACGATATTGCAGCTGATGAGGATGATGGTGGTGGTGGTGGTTGTGTTGGTCATGATGATGGTTATGATACTGATGCTGTTGATAACGATGATGATCAGGATGACGACGCTGACCTTGACGATGTTGACGATGATGATGATGGCCATGATGATGACCCTGATAATGAGCATGCCGATTCTGATGATGATGATGACGATGATGATATAATGATGATGCTGCTGCTGCTGCTGATGATGATGATGATGACGATGCTGATGTTGATGATGATGCTGTTGGTGATGATACTGCTGCTGCTGCTGATGATGATGATGATGATCGTGATGATAATGAAGATGCTGATGGTGATGATGTTGATGATATCGGTACTCATGGTGCTGTTACTGAGGACGCTGCTGCTGTTGATGGTGATCATGTTGAGGATCCAATGGATGGTGATGCTGATGATCTTTACGATGATGAGTGTGGATTGGATAGTCATGGTGGTGGTGATGATGGTGGTGCTGATGATGATGATGATGATGATGATGAGGAGGAGGAGGAGGTCCGACGCTGGCTGAAGAAGGGCGGGATATCCATCGGACCGCATTGAAACCAAAGCTGTCCACGAGCTGTCCTGCGGAGACGAGGAAGTCCCGCGAGACACCATGCAAGCTCGCCTGCAGCATGGAGTCAGTGCCCCCCTGTCTGCCTCGGGGCAGTGGATCCGGACAGAGTGTAGCATCTTTCGATGTTGGCTGATCCCCGTACGCACTACAGGGAGTTAAACAGAAATTAGGACGGCATGCCCGGCTCCTCCTCCTCCTCCTCCTCCTCCTCCTCCTCCTCCTCCTCCCCCTCCTTCCCCTCCTCCTCCTCCTCCTCCTTTCTTCTTCCTCCTCCTTTTCTCCTCCTCCTTCTCCTCCTCATTGTCGTCGCCTCGAGAGGCGCTGCCGCACTTCGACGCCGCCAACTCGGTTGTCGCGTTCACGTGCGCAAGCCCGGCCTCGGGAGGTGTCGCCGAGAGTGGGTGCGGATCTACTCTAGAATTATCAGTTTAAGGTTCCTTGTTTCGTCCCACGCCTTGCGGTCATCGCGCGAGTGATACTCGAAAACCTAGTTTTCCAAGTGGTCACGGCGATGAATCGCGCGAGTGGTTGAGCGGGCGCGGAGGGGTCAGCAGCAGCACAGGGGGCAGTGGGGGCCGAGGGAGTCAGCGGCGGGGCCGCCCCCGGCCTCTCGTGAGCCACTGATGGCTGGGGAGCAGGCCTCGGTGCAGGACTGATACTTCGCAGCCGCTGGACCCTCACTCTCCGACCGAGCTCGAGACACCCCGCCCGACGACGACGCCGCTCCCCCTCGCGGTGATCGCATGCTGGGCTTTGGCTCCGTGGGACGCCTGCCATGCTCTGCAGCCGCAGCTGCGACAAGGCTTGGTGTGGCCAAGCTGGGGTCCAGGGAGTGTGCTGGGCTTGCTCCAGGCTGCTCCGTGGAGAATCGCACTCGCGTAAACAGCGGTTGGCTGGCATCGAGAACATCGTCTTCGCTCACCAACGCACGGCTACCAGCTGGAGATCCCGATCCAGCATGCCCGACGATGAAAGCAGGGTGACTACTGCGCTCATCCACCACACCAGGCAGAGGGTCTGGAGAGGAGGCCAACATTCATTGCTCCCCTGCGCTGCCTGTGGGCAGTGGGACACCAGCAGTTGAGCCGGCACCCATTATAGCTCGGCGCCCAGCGTTTTCGTCTGGCGGTTGAGGCATCGCCGGGAGAACGCTCTCAGAGCGTTACGAACGCACTCAGAGCGTTCTGGAACGCTCTGAGAAGGCTGCGGCGCCCGATACACCCTCCAGAACTGCCAGATCTCGGAGATCCCCGATTCATCCCCGTCCGATTCTGTCCTGAGCCCGGCCTCGTCTCACAGATGGGGGCACGGCCATGCGGACGGCCGAGGTTGCAGCCCACCTCTCCGCACGGGGGTCGGATCGCAGGGGGCCTGGACGTGTACCGTGCAAGACCTTTGCCGAGCCGCGGGCGTCCCACCAACGACTGCACGCTCGGCCCTCGGAAAGTGCCACCAGAGCGCACAGGCCCCATGCCGTGCAGATCACTCCAGGCGTGGTCTGGCAGCGCTCAACGTGCCACTGGTGTCAAGTCGGGCCTGTCTCTCTACAGGGGGAATGTTCAAAAATAGTCGAAAAATAGCCTGGGGACTATTTTTTGAGCATTCTCTTGCTATTTTGGGGCATTTGTTGAGTATTTCTTATTTTTCATCAAGCATCCCCCTGTAGGAGGACAGGCCCGACTTAACACTGGTGGTCATCCACCCTCGGCAGGATGGCAGGCAGCTGCGGGAGCGTGAAGGGGCCGCGCGGCCAGAGCAGGCCGTCTGGGGAGTCTGCCGCCGCCTCCACGAAGATGTGCGCTTCGTCGACCGAGCAGTTCGTCAGGGCATCTCCTTGCCACCTTGGACGCAGCGCCAGTTGCGATGATGCAGAGTGCCTCGAGCTCGGGCGCAGTGCTGGCGCGTGGGCGCCCGCACGTGTTGTATGCTGATGCGGGCGAGCCTGCGACCAGTGCCCGCCAGCAGCCAGGGATGGCAGCGCTTCCACCAGCCTGAGGAGGCGGAGGAGGAGGAGGAGGGTGAGGGAGGAGCAGGAGGAGGACGAAGAGGTGGAGGAGGAGGAGCTGGAGGAGGAGGAGGAGGGGGAGGAGGGGGAGGAGGCAGAGAGGATGCTGCGGTTGTGCTAGAAGGAGGCGGGGGATGGAGGTGGCGCAGGTCGGACGAAAAGGAGGAGAAGGGAGAGAAGTAAGAGAAGGATGCGGTTGGACGAGGAGGAAGAGGTTGCAGGAGGATGGGAGGAGGATGAGGCTTATCGATGATGATGACGATGACGAGGACGATAAAAATGAAGATGATGCTGATGATGATGCTGCTGCTGATGATGTTGTTGTTGATGATGGTGATGATGATGATGACGATCGTTGTGATGGTGATGGTAACGGTGATGATGCTGATGATGATGATGCTGCTGCTGGTGATGATTATGATTGTGATGATGATGACGATGACGATGATGATGATGATGCTGATGATGGTGATGATGATGCTGATGATGGTGATGCTGGTGATGATAATGATGATGATGAATGTGGTGATAATGCTGCTGCTGCTGCTGCTTATGGTGATGATGCTTATGACGACGATGATCATGCTGATGATGATGACGATGGTTTTGATGATGATGATGATGATGATGATGATGATGGTGATGATGATGATGCAAATTATGAAGACGAAGATGATGATGCCGATGATGATGATGCTCGTGATGCTGATGATTCTGATGGTGATGATGATCAGCATGATGAATCTTCGGATGATGATGAGGATGCTGATTGTGCTGATGCTGATGATGATTAGGATGATGAGGATGCTGATGATGGCTGTGGTGGTGGTGCTAATGAGGATGCTAATGATAATGACGATGATGACCGATGATGATGCTGATGAGGCTGATGGTGGTGGTGGTGGCGGTGGCGATGGAGGTGGTTGTGATGATGATGCTGTTCATGATGATGATGACGCTGCTGCTGCTGCTGATTATGATGATCATGGTTGTGGTGGTGGTGGTTGCGGTGGCGATTGATGTGGTTGTGATGATGATGATGATGCTGATGATGCTGCTGCTGATGATGATGATAATGCTGTCCATGATGATGAGGATGATGCTCATGATGATGATGATGATGATGATGATGATGATGATGCTGATGATGATAATGATGATGATGACGATGCTGATGAAGCTGATGATGGTGGTGGTGGTGGTGGTGGCGGTGGCGATGGAGGTGGTTGTGATAGTAGTGAAAAAGCTGTTCATGATGATCAGGATGATGCTGTCGATGATGATGATGCTGATGATGATGATGCTGATACTGATGATGATGTTGCTGATTCTAATGACGATGTTGATGATGACGATACTGAAGATGATGATGCTGATGATGCTGGTGATTACGACGCTGATGACGATGACTGACGGAGCTGATGCTGATACTGCTGATGAGGTTGTTGTAAATGATGATGATCATGATGATGATGCTGATGAGTGGTGGTGATGATGTTGGTGACGATGAAGCTGCTGCTGCTGATGATGCTAAGGATGTTGATGATGCTGGCGACACTGATGATGAGATTGTGGTGGATGATGAGGATGCTGGTGGCTAGGCTGCTGCTGATGACGATGCTGACGATGAGGTTGACGATGCTGCTGATGATGCCATACTGGTTACTGTAATGATGCTGTTCACGATGCTGAGGATGATGCTGATGACGATGATTCTGATGATTATGTTGATGATGTCGATGACGACGACGACGATGATGATGATGACGATGATGATGATGTTTCATGATGATGATGATGATGATGATGATGATGATGATGGTGGTGGTGGTGGTGGTGGTGGCGGTGGCGATGGAGATGGTTGTGATGATGATGATGATGATGATGCTGTTCATGATGATGATGATAATACTGCTGCTGATGATGATGACGATGCTGCTGAGGCTGATGATGGTGGTGGTGGTGGGTGTCGCGGTGGCGATGGAGGTGGTTGTGATGATGGTGATGCTGCTCGTGATGATGAGGATGATGCTGGTTCAGATCATGATGTTGATGACGACGATGCTGATGATGATGATGATGATGATGCTGCTGCTGATGATGATGATGATGACGATGATGATGATGATGCTTATGGTGATGCTGGTGATGACGATGCTGCTGCTGCTGATGCTGCTGATGATGCTGATGGTGTTGCTGATGATGCTGATACTGATGATACTGATGATGCTGATGATGATGATGTTGATGATGGTGATGTTGATTCGGTCACTGTGGTGGGCTATGGTTATGATGCTGATGTGGTCGATGCTGGTGATGGTAATGATGGTAATGCTGCTGCTGCTGATGATGATGATGATGATGATGATGATGATCGTGATTGTGATGGTGTGAATGTTGATGATGATGATGATGAGGATGATGATTCTGTTGATGCTGATGAGGATGAGGAGGAGGAGGAGGAGGAGAAGGAGGAGGAGAAGCATGGCGAGGAGCAGGATGATGAGGATGTGAATGCCGCTGGCCATTATGCTTCTGACCATGGTGACGATGATGACCGATGGTGATGATGATGATGCTGATGATGATGCTGATGATGATGATGATGCTCATGCTGATGCTGATGCTGATGATGATGATGATGATGATGATGGTGGTGGTGGTGGTGGTGGTGGTTGGGTGGTGATGATGGTGATGATAGCGATGGTGATGATGATGATGATGATGATGATGATGATGATGATGATGATGATGATGATGATGATGATGATGATGATGATGATGATGACGATGAGGAACTGAAGACTTGTTCAGAAAGGGTGAGGATGACGACATGGGTCAGGATTCGGCACGGACTTGTTCATAAAGGGTTCGCACGGTCGGTCTGCCCGCGCATGCCGGCGCCTCGGCCGTTTTTTCTGTCGTTGCGAGGGCCATCGCACGAGCGATGGCGTGGCTTTTTTCTCGCCGCGAAAGCCTCGACATTGTGAAGTGCTGCCAGAATATGTAGGGTCTCGTTGGGCACCGCGATGGTGTGAAAATCTGCGTGCGCCGTGGAAGAGCAGGAGGAGGAGGAGGACCAAGAGCAGGAGGAGGAGGAGGAGGAGGAGGAGGAGGAGGAGGAGGAGGAGGAGGAGGAGAGGGAGGAGGAGGAGGAGGAGGAGGAGGAGGAGGAGGAGGAGAGGGGGAGGAGTGGAGCAGGAGCAGGAGAGGAGGAGGAGGAGGAGGAGGAGGAGGAGGAGGAGATGAGGGAGGAGGGGGAGGAGGAGGAGCAGGAAGAGGATCAGAGTAAATTCAAGGTGCATCAGTGATGTGGCAATCTTGCCTCCTGCCCCACGTCCTGTCTCCCACGCGTGC